AGGAGCCAGGCCAGCCGTGAACCAGCATCAGAGGCACAACCTTCTGATTCTCACGGTGTGGTGGTCGCACGTGGACATAGTGCACATCCAATCCTGCAGTGATGCAAAAGCATTGGTGTGAAGAGAAAAGAAAGTAGCGTGTGGACAGATTTTTGGCCAAATAATTACTCTAAAGCAAACCCTGTAGCTTCAGCTCAGGCTGTGTGTACCTTCTATTTTAGTTTTGAAGTGTGGATACTGGTTAAGTACTTCCACCTGCTTTTTCCAGTCAAACGTGTGTCTCCAATAGGAAACCACTGTCTTGAGATACGTGGAATTGAAGCCATACTGGAAGCAGCTGTCTTCTAAAGGATCGGTGTAGCGGGTTCTGTCAATGCGCTCATGAAGGTCCTGTTGAATAAGACCACACAAACATGTTAATGTCTCATTATTGGTATTTCAAATTTGACAACTGGTGTTGAAACACTTTAAATGAACAGCTCAAAAGTACCGCAATCTCTTCATCTGAGGTTTGCACTTTGAAGGGATAGATTTTATCATCCTCTGACAGTGGCTTGTTTCCTGCTCCCCACCAGCCTTCACCAAGAGGAATACTTTTGACTTGTCTTCTCTTTAGCACCATGTGCAAAAGTATACCCCCTGCTGCCACAGCTGAGCCAATCAGGAGCTGCTGTTGGAAGGCATTCAAGCCACAGAAAGCTCCCCTGAAAAATTTGTGAAAATATGAGAAATATTCATTGGAGATCCCTACGGCCTTGAGATAGTTTAAAATATGTATATTTCAAATCTGAGTCGTAAAACCTACTTACTTCAAAAGATGCAGTCTCTGCATTGTGCAATTCCAAAAGGTGAGCGCGCACAGGTGGGTTTTTTTAGACCTACACAAGGACAGAGGTAAAAAAAAAATTCATTATCTGCACCGCGCTTCTAAAGTTACAAGCACGTTCAAATTCGACCACATGCGTTTCAACATACCTTGTTTGTCTCCTTTTCAGGTGTACCTTCCGAAAATATTGGAAAGTCTACAAATCAGAGCGGCTACGACGGGATTCAGCGGTGTGCAAAACAAATACACCGCCAACTTCCTGCTGAACCGAAGTCCTGAAGTGTCTGTGAGGAGCGCGAACACAATGGTGTGATTGGCCGCGAGATGTGCCACTCAAACAGCCGTGACGTCGTTCTTCATATAACAGGGAGGCGACGTCGAGCCGTTGTTTTTTTATTTTTGAGGGTGTAGTGACACAAACATGTTGTGGAAGATTGTCCTCTCTGTCCTGGCAGTGGTTTTCACCGTCGGGTCAGGAGCCTCGATGGTAGGGGGTTTTGTAGATATAGATCCGAATGACGAAGGTCTGCGTAATGCCCTCAACTATTCCGTCGCCGAACACAACAAACGCAGTAACTGTATGTACCTCAGCCAAGTGGCAGAAGTGGTCAAGGCTCAGAGTCAGGTTAGTAACGTTTCATTTGGATCTGGGAAGCTCTATAAACTTTATTTCACATGCTTTGTGATGGCAAGAACATCCAGTGTAGGCCGCAGTGTTTGGCCTGGCTGCTTCAGCCTGTGCCCATTTTAAATATAAAATAAATTATATATGTCTACTGTATACGGTATCAACAAGAGAGACTAATCTTTTTTTTAATCCCGTTCAAATTGTGGTGAATTACACATTTGTAAATTTAAAAGATAATTTGGCAAGTTTAATTTTGTCATAAAACTGTTGGAAGTTTAAGAGTGTGAAGATACATAATTATAAAGACTACAAACCAAAAGTGTGACGTCTGTCTCGGACGCACACACATGAACAAACAGGTCTTTCTCGTTATTTCGCTTCCTGTCTGAGAAAAAGAATCGCTGTATAAAATACATCAGGTATGATAACACTAAATGTTTGACAGACATGATGATAAGCTGATTATGAAAAGTTTTTTGGAGCATGAGTTTATTTAAACTTGTCTGAAATGTAATGGCTGGTAGACCTGAAATCTGCTGTACGCTAAACTGCTTTAGCATTAAGGTTTACCGGAATCTGTATTTCCATCACCCACCCACTTCACCTTACAGGTGGTGGCTGGTTTGAAGTACGTAATAACGGTGAGAATGGCAAAGACCCCCTGCAGGAAAGACGGTGCAAATGATGTGTGTGCCATCCACGAAGACCCAGCACAGGCTCAGGTAATGACTTTTAAGCTACAACCTCAGCCTCTGGATGAAAATCCCCCCCCCCATTTTTGCTTTTGGGAGTTATTAGACACAATTTTTAAATGTCATACAGTATACTTCTCCCTTCAACAGTAGACCACACTATCCGATTGTGAAACGATTCTATACTTCCCCTCTTTGAACCATCCAGCTATGTTTGTTGCTGTTACCACAGAGAGAAGTCGGAATTAGTAGCGTCATATTTAACCTTATGACTAACTTTAACATATAGGCCGACTGTAATTTGAACATTAGCCTACTACACCATCGAAAGACGAAAATATTTGATAAATTAAATGAATCTGCTCCTGAAAAACTAAATGTTGATCTTTGACTATGATAATCTCAAAGACTAAACGCTATATGTTTTATTCATGGTGTGTGTGTGTGTATATATAATGTGTGTAAACGTTTCTTCCTCAGCCTTACCTGTGCACATTCACCGTGTGGAGCCGCCCATGGCTGAATGACATCAGATTGTTGAACGAGACTTGCTAGAAAGAGAACTACGTGGGAAATCTTCATTGTTTGCAGAATAACCTTCAAATAGAGCAATATGCATTTTCCTGTCAAATAGAAATCATTTAAATGTCTGGTATTCTATAAGTTTCGCTTTGCCCTCTGTGCACTAGCCAAAGTCCTATATGATGGGGCGGGCAGTTTTAAGGTGTTACCTGAAGTTATTACTATAGTTATTTATTTCCAATGTGTTTTTATTTATTTCTTTGTCTTGTTTACTTCGTCTAAAAAATGTTTAGTTATGTTAAGGCTACATGTGTGTTTTGTTGTTCTGGTTCATGCTCATGCCAAGTTCTTCAGTCCTGTTGGGTCTTTCATTTACTTGTTTAACAGTTTTCTTATCCCAAATACACTATACAGTGCTATCTATGGAATTACTATTATTGTGTTGAACAGTTTGAAGACGTTATACATATTCCTTTGAGGTAAAAGCTCCTGAGGCTTAATATTGCATTCATCCCTTGATCTTGGAGTCGAATGGTTTTACAGCACATATATTGGTCTGTTGGGCTTTCATACATCCATCACTGACCTGGTCTGAGGATGGAGGAGATACAAATGCTGGGGGGTCAAATATCACTATTGCCACATAATGCATCCACCAATTAAGTTTCTTTACATACACTTTAGTATCAAACAATGTTGCCAGCTGATATTTCAGGCTGTTTTGAGGGAACAGTGAGGATTTATACATTTAACACCTGGTCTGAGGAATTTCAGCAGATATGTTCATACATTTATTAACAACATATAGACTAAACTGAAATAAAAAGGGGACGCATTACTCAGCAGCTAATGTCTTCTACAGAACATCCCCCACACTTCTCAGTAAGAGCACTTCAAATCAAACTGAATGAATCAAAAGGTGTTCTAGTACATACTTTATTTGATTGACTTTGACCGGGTGAATGTGGAATAAAGTCTGCATTTAAAAACCTCACGTTTCAAATAATAGTTTGCTATTGCTGTCCGAAATGCGTACAAACGCAACGAAAAAGAACAAGAGTTCACCCTTAGGTATATTGAAAGATAAATTAAAAAGGCTTTATTTAATTTATTGAATGGAACGGGTTTATTTTCCAGAATATAACTTCCATATAAAGTTTTGTTTGTTTTTTATTTTATTGATAAATAACATTATTATTGTGTTTAAATGATGACTGTCATAAAGGCAAGATGTTACACACTCCGGTACAGTAGGTGGCGGCATGCACCTTACACGTTGGTTTGCAGTCCGCCAAGAAACTGAGAGAAGAAGAAAAAGAAGAAGAAAAAGAAGAAAAGGCAGAAAAAGTAGACTGTCAATGATTTATAAAGGCTGGGAACATTTATGTTTGAACAGAGCAGTTTAAACAGACGGCCAGATTAAACTGCATCAGTGAAGAAGCTCCACTCCCCAAACATGAAGATCTTAAACAAAGACGAACTACAGATCGCTGAAGGAGTTCTGCTAAAACACTTCCCCAAGAGCTTTAAGGTACACGGCTGCAAACACGTTCCTCATTAAGTCATGTAATCGCAGTGTCTTGACGTTGTCGCTCTAAACGTTTCGTGCGTGCAGGTGTACGGCTTCATATTTGGGATTAACAGGAAGAAACCAAGCACACTGGAGGTCATCGTTGATACGTGGCCTGATTTTAAGGTTATCATTTGTCGACCTGACCCCAAGGTGAGGTCACATACCATTGGAAACATTGTACATACGTCGTGTTTCTGGAGGCCACTTGATTGCTGAACCTGTCGTTTATTTCACAGAACAAGCTCACCCTGGAGTTCATGAAAAAGGTGACCTACTTCAGCATGGATGACCAGATTTTAAGGAAAATGCTGACAGAAGAGAATGCAATTGACTGGAGCACGTATTTTTTAATTGGTGGTGAGTTAAGGTCACTGCAGACAGTGTTTATCATTGGACGGGCCACAGGTTACTTGTGGCAGTGTAACTCAGTGGTGTAGTGTAACTAAGTTACCGTTAAGTACATTTACTCAAGTACTTGGTTTCAGTTTTAGATAATGGTACTTTGTTTGAGTACTGACATTTCATTGCCACTTTATACTTCAATTCCATTACAATTAGATAGTACCTTTTCTTTACTGTTGGAGCTATTTATTTGATAATGTATTTTGTTATTTCATTTATAAGTCGTATTGTTTAATTATTGTAGATGTTTGATATATTAAGATTATTTTTTTCTTTAATAGTAATTTGTTTAGTTATATTGTTTTTTGGGTCATTACTGTGGGCACCTGTTGCTATATATATAGGAGTAGACAGATGGGACCAGCATGCACCGGGGTGGGCGTATAGTTTTTACCAGCAGCATAGCACATGACAGGAGAGACAGCACGACAGGAGTTTTCTTTGTTCTTTAAGTTAGTTTGTTTGTTTGTTTTGTTTGCTTTATTTGATAAATACAAAAAACGGAATCCTGCTTGGACATTTCACTCTCTTCTGGCTGCGTAAAAATACCGACCACGGTGCATCAGTGGCGTTTGATTATTATTTGTTTAAGTTTGATTTAGCCGACAAATGGCCACTACATTTACTTACATGTATATTTTTTGACAGCTGTAGGCCTGGTTACTTCACAAATACAATTTTACGCCGGAAACAGTTTGGCAAGCTTATAAAATATGCATTATTACTATGACACATTAATGCATCACTGTTGAGTATCCATGTAACATTTCTGCATTGAGTACTACATTTAGATAATGCAGGACTTTAAATTGCAATGGAGTATTTTGACATTGTGGTATTTCTATTTATGAGTAAAGGAGGTGAATATTTCCTTCACGACTGTTGTAACCTCTTAGAAGAATAACTGAATGGCAATAAGCATGTAAATCATTTTTGTCCTCCAGGATTTGATGTTTCCCATGAGACCATGCTCAAAGAAGTGTCTTCTGACAGAGAAGTCAACAACAAAGTCTATGCTTTGGTGCATCTTCTGTATTTGCCAGACAGCAGTCATCTGCCCACACCAGCAGCTGACAGGTAGTCAGATCATTAAAATGTACTTTTATGAATATATGTGCATATTTAGCTTATATCAACATCAGTGAATAGTAAAATATTACTGTTTCATTGGTTGTCATTATCTGATTCTCTACACAGTGAGCTTGAATCAAGGATTTCATCTCTTAACCTCTCCCACGTTGAATTGGTGAATAAAACCTCGAAGTTCGGAGGGAACAAGCTGGGTTACATAAACATTAAAAACCTCATCAGCAACTTCCCTTCATGCTGCATCACTGACGGCCAGGGTCAGCCCGTGTCCTGGGTTCTGGTGTACGATTACTGTGCGTTGGGCATATTGTACACTCTGCCAGAGCACAGAGGGAGAGGTTACGCCAAAGTCCTGGTCAGCACCATGGCCAGGAGACTCCACACCGAGGGCTACCCAGTGTACTGCTTCATAAAG